GGTGAAAGGTCCTTGTTTTCTGAGTCTAGGCTGCTGTGTAAGGAGTTTTGTGGGCTGAGTTGGTGTTCATCCTTGGTGAGAGCCACTCCCTTGTCTTTGGAGGCTTCAAGGAGTCATCTTTGAGTAGAAAGGACCAAGCTTTGGTGTATTTTCGTATCTTGGAAAAGTCAGAACCTTGGTGTGTAGTTGGAGACTTCTATTCTGCCTCATTTTCTGAGTTTTGAGCATTGGAGGTGCGCCATGATCACCTCTTTGTCATTTTGATGATTTAAGCTTGTTTAATCGGTTAAAAAGTAAAACTTGGACCATTTGAATAAAGGAATTTGTTTCTGAGTTCATAACATGTTAATGAACATCTGTTTATGGAGTCATTGGACTCCAAATCACGTTTGGACCCTTAAACTAGGATTATTCAGAGGTCTGCTCGAATTTCTGCATTCTGGAGGAGAAGTATTCGAATACTTTTCGGGTAGTATTCGAATACTTGTCCTTTGGTAGTCGAATACTCCTTGCTGGAGTATTGGGATACTTTTCTGGGTTGAAAAGTATTCGGATACCTTGAAGAAGTATTCGAATACTGCGTAGTATTCGAATACTTGGGTGTTGGTATTCGAATACCTTGTGGTATTCGAATACTTTAGTGAAAGTAATCGAATACTTTCTGGAGAGTGGGAGTATTCGAATACTCATCGAGGAGTATTCGAATACCTCCTGTAGAAACTGCCCAAAATGACTTAAAATGAAATGGAAAGCCTTAATCACTTAGTGTAACCTTGGACAATGGTTAGTGATGATTATTTATTGTATAAGCAGATTGTGATTGTGTTGTTTGTTGGGCTTTGAGCTAGTGTGGGCTCTTGGCTTGGATAGTTAGCTTGCAAGGTAAGCTTTCGTGTCCACGGTTTAGCCATTGTTGGTTCCACCATGTCCCATGGGGGGATGGTTTATATGCATGATGTTTTTTTCATGTATTGTTTTGTTGAAATGATATTGAGATGTTATGTACGAGTGCCTTATGATATGCATGTGGTGTTCCATCTATACGGTAAGCCTGAGTATGTGGCGTCATACAAGATGGTGAGGCAGTGGGTGAGGTGCAAGTGGCGTCTTGCACTAGTGTGGGTAATAGACGTATTCCTGCATTTCTCTGGCCAGTAGAATAGTATTGACACACATGACACGATTATCTGCCGCATTGCACTGTTTTGGAACTTATATTGTTGAACTGTTGTTTTAGAACTTATATTGCACATGTAAGTGAGCTTGGGGTGGAAGTGTAACACCCCGTGTATACTCGGAATATTAACATTACATCGTATTAAGCGGTGCTTAATTAAAAATGCGGAATATTCTTTTTCTTTTCAATTATGACGTCATTATCAATTACCAACTTGATTACTTAATCAATTTCATAAAATATCGCCTGTATGTAAATTGGAATAAGACATCTACTGAAATACCACAATATATAGATAAAGTGTGTATCTAAATCACGACATTACATCAAGTAATCCGAACAATATCCTGATACATTATTACAACTCCAAAAGACTCAAGACATAATCAAGACATAATAATACTATGTGTCATGGACAATCCCCATGCTCACCAAATAAACATAGTAAACAACAAGTCTCCAAAACATAAGCTGAAGCTATAAGCATAAAAGTAGCATGCAAATCCAGCATCCAATCATGGCAGCATAATATAACAGCAATCTAACTCAGCTCCGGCCTCCTGCCGCCTGAGGTCTCAACATTACCTGACCCTGAAATAAGCGTTCTCCAAACGTGGGGTGAGATCTCTAACCAAGAAATCTCAGTAAGACAAGGGGTCCTCAAGGATCTTCCACCCCAAGCTCACTTACATGTGCAATATAAGTTCAAAAGCATTTATATCATTATAAGTTCCAAAACTATGTAGTGCAACAGATATCTATGGCATGTGTGTAATCACTATCTACTGGCCAGAGAAATGTAGGAATACGTCTATTCCCTACATGTAGTACAAGGAACACCGCTTGCACCTCACCCACAACCTGACCCTCTTGTATGTTCTACATACTTAGGCTTACCGTATATAGGTGGAACACCTCCATGCATATCAACAAGGCACTAACATACAATAGCTCAACAACATTTCCAAAACATCAAAAGCATGTAACACAGCATGCATATACCATATCCCCATGGGACATGGTGGAACCACAACATGGCTAAACCGATGACACGAAAGCTTACCTCTAAGCTAGCTATCCAATGCCACAAGCTCAAAGTCCAATCACAGCAGATTACAATCTGATATGGACCACATATAAATCAATAAACATGTACCACATGCATACAAATTAAAGACAACACTTTTTCATTACGTTTTCAAGTCTTAAAGCTTCTAACAAAGCTACAAGCCCTCAATCTCATGACTCTGGCTTAGTCCATTAAATACAGAAGTTCAACTTCATCAAACTAGGGTCCACAAACCCCCAATAGCCTACTATACACACAGCACAGCTACTGTTCTGCGAAATCCCAGAATATCCGGATATTCCTCGGGACCATATCCGGATATGCAATATCCGGATATCTCACTGTCCATATCCGGATATGCAATATCCGGATATACAGATTCACATATCCGGATATCCTAAAACCACATATCCAGATATCCAATATCCGGATATCTGTTCGACAAATATCCGGATATTTCACGACAGAATGCAGTTTCTGCATTTTCGTGAAGATATCCCTTAAAGGTTCACTTTTTTATCGATTTTAAACACCTAATCATGCATTTCTAGGCGTGTTCAACATTACCCAACAACAAGTTATCATCTTTTAGCCTTAACATGCATCAAGCTTTCATTTTTAAAGCATGGAACTCAAGTTAAAGGTTGGTACACATACCCCAGCTCAAAACAGAAGGAAAGGTTGCCCTTTGGAGCTCACAATCAGTCTCAAGCTACTGTCACAAGAGGATGCACGAAAATGGTAAGAAAGGTTGACCCTTTAGCACAAAAGATCAACACTTGGACCACCAAAAACCAAGACAAGGCTTCCCTCAACCCAACCACCAAGGTCAGCCCCCAAACAGACAAGAACAGTGGCTGGTCACTCAGAAAATGGTGTCTTCCAATCTCCCAAGGCTCACTCCAACAAGAACAAGTGTTTAGGAAGAAGGTCTTAAGAAGAAACAAGCATAAAATGATCACAAAGTCTCAAAATGGAGAATATGACAATGGAACAGTATAGGAGGTCAGCCACCAAGGAGAAACTCACGCTGGTTTTCTGTTATCTAGGGTTGTGAGCCCTTAAATGAGTATAAATAGCCTCAAGCCACTTAAACGCGCAGTATTAACTTTAATTGCTACGCTTAGCATTTTAATCCCAAATTTTGGATTATGAAACTACATAATTTTCTAAGATTTATCATATTTTTCTTATATTTTTTTGAGCACATTTCTGGTACCCGCTTTTGCCAGCCAGTACCGGTTTCTAGCACCAGTTCTCATTATCTGGACTTGAAACTCGTTTTACAAGTCCTACATATTATTCTAGTAATTATCATGCCCTTACATTAGTTTTCCGGGATAATTTTTCGGTACGCATTTATACCGACTAGCATAACCGGTATCTGCACTTTTCTTCCGAAAAGCGACTTTCAACATTCTTAATCACTTACCATAATTATTAAAGCCTCTTAATAATTATTAGGGTCAATTATGGAATCATTCCCTAATTTTGCATAATTAATTAATTAAATACCTTAATTAACGGTGCGGGTTCTTACAGGAAGACCCTTGAGGACCCTTTGTCTTACTGAGATTTCTGTTTAGAGATCTCACCCCACGTTTGGGGCACACATTTCAGGTTCAGGTAATGCTCGGGTTGAGACCTCGGGCGGCAGGAAGCCGAAGCTTAGTTGATTGATGTTTACCTGTTTATGCTGATTATGCTTGGATGCTGGATTATGTATGTTGCTATTATGCTATTAGCTTCATTTTATGATTATGTTGTTACTGTTGAGCTGTGACATTATTGGACCTTGTTGCCTTATTTGGTGAGCATATGGATTGTCCATGCCACATTGACTTGACTTTCCTTCTTTAGATCTGAGTTATATAATGTATCAGGATTATGGTCCGGACTACGTGTTGTAGTTCCGTGATTTAGATACACACAATTATCCTATATTATGAGGTATTTCAGTTAGATGTTGATTTGCAATTTACATACATGCAAAGTTTTGAAAAATGAATTAAGTAATTCAACTTGGTAATGATAATGACGTCATAATTGAAAAGAAAAAGATATTCGGCAATTTTAATTAAGCGTGGCTTAATACGATGACATGTTAACAAACCGGGTTAACACGGGGTGTTACTTACAATTCTTGGCTGATTCTTTAGACTTCTTTTTGATATTTGTAAGTTGTAATGCTTGAAGTATTCTTTCTATGTTTGTTTGTAATCATCAAAATCCTTAAATTTCTATATTCTTCATTTTGAGAGCATTGGTTCCACAATCTCCCCCTTTTTGACGATGACAAACTTAAATTGAGAAGAGGGTTAGCATAGCAACTTAAATTGAGAAGAGGGTTAGCATAGCATGAATGTTGTCAAAAGATAATATTAGGACTCCCCCTCAATTCATAAATGATATATTGGAAAAGGAAATAGTGGAGCTTTAGGTTCCATTTACCTTTCTTTTACCTTTCTAGTTTATTCTCCCCCTTCTTACCTTAATGTATGCCTCTTTACACAAAATGAGTGAGTTGTACAATTTTCTCAATTTACACATATTTCTCCCCTTTGGCAACATAAAAAAGAATCAGATAATTCAACACATAGATAGAGATAAGAGAGCAACAATGGCTAATAGCATTATAAGTCAGAATAAGTTATAAAGAGCCAAAATATAACAGAATAATCCACAAAGCAAAATAAAGAACATAGCCAACCATAAGAGAGACATAATCCAAAATGTAAAGCAAAAGGTGCAAAATATCCAAAATGTAATGCAGAATGTCATAGAGGTCCAAAAGCATAAAGCATAAAAGATAAATCTGAAGCTAAATGTCATCAGGGCTAGGTGGAGGTGGTGGAGGAGGAATGCTAAAGTGATGCTCAATGCGCTGCAATCGTAACTCCATACTTTCTTGACGTGTATGAACTACGGTGAATCCTGATTCTATTGAAGTCTTCATCTAGTTAAGGGTAGTTAAAATGAAAGCCAAAGTATGATCCACAGGAAAGATGGATCAGCATGAGAGCCTGCAACAGGATCCTGATGGGGTAAGAGGATCATCAACTTGAATGGCATCTGAAGGTGCAGCTGCTAGAGGATTAGTCACACGACGCCACACACCGTCAATTTTCTTAATTTGCATCTGGGCGAGCAAGTATTCTCCAAAGCAGTGCAAGTCTTCTTTCATAATTTCACCTTCACCATCAACCTGCTGAAAGCGCATACCAGTGTAGCATAGGGAAGAAAACCAGAGCTTTTAGTTTTCACCATCATAGAGCATATGTAGGCAGGTCAGTTGAAGTCAATCTCAGAGTTAATTACCCATATAAAAAAGAGATCATAATCATACACAATAGAGTAATTAGAAGCTCTAGGAGATAGCTTATAAGAAACCACAGTGGAGAATCCTGTTGTTCATAGTCAACAACCCTAGACTGAACTTGATTTAGTGACAATTACTCGAGGTTCTGCAATAGACTAAGCAAATTCAATTTTGTTATATTCGGGAAACTCATCAGTGTATGTAGGCCCACATAAGCATGACCAATCAGACTGGGCCATTCACTATGTGTAACAATAAAATTCTTCCCTTTAACATTAGCTTTCAGAGTATCATTTGCAAAAGTCATAGTGCAATAAAAGGCGCGAACCATATCTTTGACATATTAGTCATCCATAATAGCCAACTGAAGCATACATGCACGACCCAACAACCTACAAATTTCAAACTCTTTATCATCAAGAAATGAATATCTAGAAATTTGGGTTCAATAATGTGCCTCTGAACAAAGTTGTTCAAGAAGGCAGCATGCTGAGAAAAATTGGAAAAATACCAACCATGAAGCGTAGAACTTGTTTGGAATTGAGAAGCCTTTGTACTCTTGCACTTCTGTTGTGAAGGGTCTGCCATGGAATCCCTTGAGTGAGCAAGAAGCTGAGTCATAAAAATTCTAGTGCCAAGTACCAACCCTGATTGAAAAAAACCTTCCAAGAAAATTAGAACATTGAAATTAATGCAAATGAGAAACAAATAAAGCATCCAAGACATCAAACCACTGCAATGGACCAAATGCAGAACACTAATTGATGCAAGCAGAACCAGTTGATGCAATAGGAGAATATGCAAATAATAGGAGCAAACAAAATTAAAAGCACAAAATGGTGATGGTTAAAAACACCAATGGATGCAAACCAGAGGGCAACAAACATGAATCACAAAACAGAGCACCAAATGTGAATAATGGGAGCAAATCAAATGCAAAGCATCAAAAGTGTAGCAAACAGAATCACCAAATATGATGAAACACCAAGACATATTATCAATATCGAACCAAAAGAATGGACCAGCAATCGAGAAATTTTAATCAAATGCAATATAGAGAAGAAAATGGAGCAAACCAAATTGAAGTGGAGCAAACCTGGAATTCGTCCAAGTTGAGAGCGTTCTAGATAAGCAAACCAAAACCCTTTGGAGAAGCACACGATGGGGAAGGGGATGGTTTGCATGGTTTGGGGATGGGTCACCACAAGAAAAAAATCAATGGAGGAATTGAAGATGATGGACAATTCGAGTGAGATAGGTACACAATTTCGAACCCTAGAGGAGTAGTGAGGAACGATGGTTGTAGTGGAGGAGAGGGAGAGAACTGAAAGAGAGGGACTGTTCGTGGGTTTTAAAAGGCTATCAGCGCGTGGCAATCGATTCCTTAGAAGTGGAATCAATTACCATATTAAAGGAATCGATTCCCTCCCCGTCCAGGAGAGAAAAATGAAGGAAATTGATCTGTTCTTGATGGATAAGGACATGCAACCAAATACACTCAGATTTTCACTAATTAAGGCATATAAAGTATTTCCTTAAACATGTATAAACATCTCCAAAGAGTTAAATTAGCATTGAATTCAAGCAAGTGAACAAGTGAGCCAATTACACATTTAATTATGCAATCACATATATGATACATGAAATTGTCCATCAAACCATGTAGGAGACATTGATATAGGCATTGATCTTTACATATGCGTGTTACTTCAATCCTTTGCTTTATCATCACATTAAGAGCATGAGGCACCTACAAAATACTCAGAAAAATCTCCACTGCTCAAATTAGTTGAGGAATCAAAATGTGCCAAAAAAAATTCAAATTATGCATATACACTTACAAGTAAGATGGATTAATTAAACCAATCTCTCTTCTCAGATTATAAAATGCTTCCTTGGGGAGTGGTTTGGTAAAAATGTCAGCCAATTATTTTGAAGATTCCACAAATTCCAAAATACAATCACCATTTTACATATGACCTCTTATGAAATGATTCCGGATATCAATATGTTTAGTTCTTGAGTGCATTATGAGATTTTTGGTGAGATTGATGACACTAGTATTATCACACCTAATGGAGATGTGATCAAGTTCAACCCCAAAGTCCCTGAGTTGTTATTTCATCCAAATGATTTGAGCACAACAACTACCAGCCGCTAATATTCGCCTTCGGCAGTGGACAAAGCTACATTATTTTGTTTCTTGCTATGCCACGAAACTAAAGAGCAACTAAGAAAGTGGCAAGTGCCACCAGTGCTCTTCTTATCCAATTTGCATCCCGTTAAATCAAAATTAGTGCTCTTTTTATCCAATTTGCATCCCGTAAAATCGAAATTAGAATAGCCTATTAACTCACATAATGCCCCCTTAAGGTACCATAAACTCATTTGTGAAGTGCCTACAAGATATATCGTAACTCTTTTTACGACACTTAAGTGTGATTCTTTAGGATTAGCTTGAAATCTAGCACACATGCACACACTAAACATAATATCGGGCCTACTTGCAGCAAGTTAAAGGAGTGAGTCAATCATACCTCTATATTTTAGTAATCTCTATAATAACCCTAATTGGAATAATTCAAAATTAGAGAGTTATTATGAGGGTCTAATGGTCATTAACAAGATAAGGATGAAATTAGGTTAATTCTGATATCCATATTATTTTGATATCCATATTGATGGTATTATAAACAGGTCGAATTCTGCCTGTTAATTTTGACTGCTGATGCAGTAACAGATAGTAGAATAACCCTAACAAGTTGAATCTAATTTAGAGAGTTATTATAATGATATAAGCATCATAAATGAGCTTAGAATTCAATTCTATGAGATTTTGACACCCACATTGTAGGTATTATGAGAAAGTGAGTATTGACTTGATATTTTGTAATGCTGATGCAGTAACATATATCTGAAAAACCCTAATCAGTGAATCTAAGTTAGAGGACTATTCTAAGGATATAATTATCATAAATAATAAGAGGATTTGATTCTGTGAATCCTGATACCCATATTGGGATATTTTGATAAAGTCACTTTTATCGGGTATTTTTTACTACTGTGACAGCAACCGATAGAGTTCTGAAATGACAAAAAGATGAAAAAAGGGAATGTAAGTTTAATAACGAAAGAGTGGCTTTCAGAAAGCTTCACCATAAAGAATTTGGGAGAAGCGGCCTTTATACTTGGTATAAAAATCTATAGAGATAGATCCAATAGGCTGCTGGGTTTATCTCAATCCACGTATGTTGACAAGATGCTAAAGAGGTTTAGCATGGAAGGGTCGAAAAAGGGTTTTCTTCCCGTCAGTCATGGGGTACACCTTTCAAAGGCTATGTGTCCTAAGTCACAGCCTGAGAAGGATCTCATGAGTGGAATTCCATACGCTTCGGCTATTGGATCCATTATGTATGCCATGATATGTATGAGACCAGATGTCTCATATGCCTTGTGCATTACGAGCAGATACCAGTCTGACCCTGGAGAGGGTCACTGGACAGCAGTCAAGACCATCCTTAAATACTTAAGAAGAACTAAGGATGTGTTTCTGGTCTATGGTAGGGTTGATGAGTTTACAGTGAAAGGGTTCACTGATGCCACCTTTCAAAGTGACAAAGATGACTGTAAGTCACAATTAGGGTTTGTATTCACCTTAAATGGTGGGGCAATATCTTGGAAGAGTTCCAAGTAGAAAACAAAAGCAGATTCAATGACAGAAGCTGAATACATAGCTGCTTCAGAAGCGGTTAAGGAGGCCGTGTGGATCAAGAAGTTCATATCTGAACTAAGGGTGGTTCCAAGCGTAGATGAGCCTATAGAGTTGCTTTGCGAAAGCACTGGAGCCATTGCACAGTCAAAGGAACCTAGGTCTCATCAAAGATCTAAACACGTGCTCCGCAGATATCACCTGATTAGAGTAATCATTGATAGGAAGGATGTAAAGATGGATTATGTTCCCACAGATAATAACCTAGCCGATTCTCTGACAAAGGCTATTTCTCAGAGAAAACATGATAGTCATTATGAGGCTTTAGGTATACGACTTAGGTCAGATTGGCTCTAGGCCAAGTGGGAGCTTGTTAGTATATGGATGTCCTAGAGACAATCTTTTGATTAGATTAGGACATATGTGGACCTTTTATATTGTCGCAAATAAATAAAAACACTCTTTATCCTATTTCATATTTTGTCTCAATATTATTGTTAATATTTTATATGAGTAACTGGATAAACTCCTTGGAATAGAACATGTATCTCTTGAGTATCTGTGATGAGATCACGATCATGAGGATTCAAGGATACCGCACGTTTATTCCTAATTTTATGTTCCTAGTCTAGAGACACTGAGAATGAGGATCAGTGATCTCGGGTAAGAGTAGCACGACTTATCTACTTGTATTTGGATACAAGGTAAAGACCTCATCTGCTACAGATATGGAGATGTCTTAGCTAAAGTCGTGGGTTGACCTATAAGGGTATAGCTCGCATTGAACAAACCCACAAAGAGACTCTATGAGGAAATCTCAAAGAGAGTATCATTAGAGTAGTCTCTTTATATTTGTGTATGTCTTTCCTTAGACCAGAAGTTATTACCTAGACTGTGTTCTAGAAGGCACGCTTTGACTGTATACCTCGTTTGCCTGAAAATGAAGACTCATAGGTACACTGTTGGGCTTGTCCTGAAAGAGCACAAGGCTAAGGTGATAAGCCGAAGGAATTCGTCAAATCTCTATGAGAGATTAGGTTATCTGTAAACCGGAGAAATCGGGATGACATTTACAAGGATTCGGGAATCTATGCATAGTAAAAGAGGTCATGAGATGATCTACCGTTAGAGTCAGTAAATTGAAGATTCCCTATTTCGAATAAAGCTTACCCTAAACCGCAAGGGTTGATACGTTTCCTTGCCCTAGGTTTAATGGGAAGGTAACCGAGACGAAAGGAAATACATACGGCAACCAAATATGTATAATAGGATGATCAAGTCATTAATCTAACTAGTTCTGGGGCAACAAAGCATTGCTAGTGCTCTGTGTTGTCATTAAATGGGTTGTGGGCTTGTTGGGCACGAGCCCATTTATGTCAGTGGCTATGTTGGACCTAATGGGTCACACACTAACACCTTATTGTCATGATGATCTAGCATTAAAGGTATTGGGCCTAATAATGGTTGTTAGCCCAAGAAGAAGTTTGGAAGCCCACCTAAAGGAAAAGGGCGCATGGATCATGTAATGGGCTTGGATGGTCCAAGACATTACCAATTAAGTTAATTAGTTAAATTAATTATCAAATATTTAAATTTTGAATTTTGAATTTGAAATTTGAATTTTGAAATCTGAATTTCGAATCTGAATTTTGAAATTCGAATTTTGAATTGAAATTTGAATTTTGAATTTGAATTTTGAAATTTGAATTCTGAGTTTAGAATTTAAATTTAGAATTTGAATTTAGAATTTAAATGTTTGAACGTTTGAATTTAAATGTTTGAATTTGAATTTGAATTGGCTATGAAAAGTTGTTTCATAACAAAAGGATAAGATAATATCTTGTTGGAACAAATCCCTTGTATCAAGAGGAGATCTTTGGAGATCACCAAGGGCTGATTGGGGCGTTACTTTGGGTGGTTATGAGTGTCATCTAGTCAACTAAATAAGCTCCAATCAGATTTGGTTGGTTGAGAGAATCAGTGAGTGAGTTGGTTCAAATTTGAATGCAACTGCTTAACGTATCTGGACCGTTTTTGGGGCTGAAGGGGGCGCACATATGGCTGGCCATATGATGGCCATTAGATCAGAATTTTGACTAGGTTAAGACCTAGTCTCATGAGGATTCAAAGGTAGGTTGTTGGGAATTTTGAATTGCAACAACTCCACCTTTTTCTCCCTCTTTGTGCGCCACCTCAATCAGTTTTTTTAAGTGAAAAATCTGATTGCATCATGACTCTCTCATCACACTCTTGTGCGCTAACTTGGGTAGGTTCTCCTTAGGTTTTTTCACTAAACACCTAGCCAATTCTACTCCATTCTATGCGCCACTAATGTGATGTTTTCTTGCTGAAAATATCACTCTTCTAAACACATTCACCTTACCTCCTCCTTCACCTATTGAGCGCATAGCAAGCCTCATTGTGATGATCAATTAGTGGTTTTTCAAGAAAGAGTTCTTGCATCTTGACGTGGGTGGTGTGGATCAACGTTAGAGGGTTTGAACCCTTCAAACCTGACATTGATCAACTTGGAGTACGAATCACAAACAAAGGTAACATCATGCTGTCTTAAAGCATGAATCTTGATTGCATGTGTGATTCCGCTTGAGAAAATTTTTTGTTTTTCCCTCTCACATGCATCGGCCTTCAAGGCCATTTTCTTTCAGTATGGGTGTTGGTACATAGGATGCACCGTGTCTCTGGCCAGTAGACTGTTTGCCTTCGAGCGTTACGAACATCCACTGGATAGGTCTCCGAGAGGGAG